GTGCAGGGGAGGGGAGGGGAAGGGAGAAAATTTTAAAAATAAAGCAAAAGAAAAATAGTGATTATTGGGAAATGACCCATTTTGTTTGAAAGCCAGGGCCTATTCACTGAGCTACAGACTATCTATCATCTATCATCTATCTATCTATCTATCTATCTATCTATCTATCTATCATCTATCTATCTATCTATCTATCTATCTATCTATCTATCTATCATCTATCATCTGTCTATCTATCTATCTGTTTAGACAGGCTCTCTTACTAAATTACCCTGGCTGGGGTGGAACTTGCAATCCTTCTGCCTCAGCCTCCCAGAGTGCTCCAGGATTACAGATGCATGTGGTCTGGGGACTGGCTCAGGGCCTTAGGCAGGCCAGGCAAGTTCTTGCTAAATTGATGAAGGGTGGAGAGCTAATTCTGCAGCACAGACTAAAGACCTTTTTGTCCCCAGAGGAGCATGACTATCTGAGCAGCACTGTTATGGAACAGCGATTGCTACGTGCTTTTTTTTTTCCTTCCCAGAGGAAGGTTTACTGGGGCTATCTTCCCTCTCCTCTATGTTATGGCTTACATGTACATATGGAATAGTAGATAATTTACTTTATTTTATTGACAGGTTCTTGCAATGCAGTGTAGTTTGGTCTTGAACTCCTGGTGATCCTCTTGCCTCAGCCTTCTGAGTGCTGGGATTACAGGCATAGGCTACCATACTCAGCTACCTTTTTTTTTTGGTACTGGGAATCAAACTCAGGACCTCACACTTGCCAGGCAGGCATTGTGCCACTGAACTATATCCCTGACTCCTATCTGCATTTCTTTTTAAAAAGAGCTTCATTGAAATATGTTTGGTATAAAGCATACAATATGCACAATGATATTTTGATATATGTATACATTTGAAACAGTCACTATCATTTAGCAAATTAATATGTCTTGTTGCTGTTTTGAAATTTACAAGTCTCAGGAATAAGAGAGACCACATCTAAACATGATGAGATCCAAATCTTTAGGTCTCACGTGATGACTGGGTAAGACTCTTCTCCCGAAGAACTCCTATTCTAGCACGAAGCCGATGAGATGGCCCCCTACCAAGTATATTTTTACTTTTATGAGAGTGCTTCATGACAACATTTGTTGGAGTCTTCCCAAGAAGGAACTATACACCTTTTGTGAATAGGATAGGAACAGATATTCATGACCCAGGATTATTGTCACTCTACTTGTCAGGCTGTGGGAGAGTTGCACTTCTCTGGCCCTGCATTGGGCTTGTTCAGTGGAATAAGAATTTGACTTACACACTATCCAAACAGGAACTTGGAGTGTGCTCATATGGCATGTTTTGTTCCTTGTTCCTGTCCTTCTATTAAAGCAGCATGGCCCGTGCAGGGGCATCCCATCAGCTTAGAGCTAGAATAGGAGTCCTTTGGGAGGAGAGCCAGTCTAGCGAGCCGCAGCCTACACCTTCCACACCCTACACCCTCACGAATGAAATCTGTCATAAAACAGTGAGCTTAGGGCTGTAATATTAACCTTCTACTATATCCTTCCTACATCTGCCTTCATTTTAAGATTCTCTTGTAGTGAAGAATTTAAAGATCTCATTTCTAGCTCCAGTTTATTTTTACTTTTATTAAAGTGCTTCATGACAAGAACATTACCAGCAACAGTCAACACAGATTTTACTGAGATAATTACAAATAAAACACCTCTACGTTAAAAATCACTCAAATAATGGAATAATGGTAATCACAACTGGAGATTAATTTTAATTCCTGACCACACATATGAGACCCCCCAAACTGGGAGATCAACCTGGTTACCTTAGCATGTAGGGCTCATTGGTAAGACCTGAAAGCTATTCCCAACAAGTCACTGGAAATAAATGATATAATTTGAAACTTTTTATCCTTGGTATTTCAGCTTCCTCATCTGCACTGAGAATTAATCTTCCCTTAAGGAAGAGTTATAAATACTAAAGTATGAAATGTTAAAGCTTAGCCTACTTTTGTGCCTCAGAAAGCATTCATGTGTATGTTGTTAAAAGGTCAAGTTATTTGTTCTTGACATAAATTGGATATTATATGGCTTTAAAGTAGATTGATTGCTATTTCTTTGAATATGATTTTCATTTATATCACATTAAAATCATACTAGCTTGACCTTAGATTAATAAAATTTATAGAAGATACAGTTCATAAAATTATTTAATTGCAGTGAGGACAGCTGTTCCACTTTGGTAAAATTAACTAATTATTAAAAAGAAGAAATTTTAAAAGTTTCTTCCATTCAGTGCTTATATTTTTAAAAACTGTTCCATAAAGACAGAAATCCTGCTGCCCTCAACCACAAAGCAATACTTGACAGATCTCTGTGTAGTTTCTTTGGATCTTGTCAGGTACTCTATCATAAGTATCAAATGAGACTGTAGTTGACAAGAGAGTAAATGCCACACTGGACAGGGCCTGTAGGCTTTGTGTCCCATGCCATCAAAACAAGACTCGGCAGTGCTTATGATGGGAGGAAGATTTAGAGGGAAAAAGCTTGAAGATACAGATAGATAATGTAATTGGAGAAAGAAGAGAAGTAAAATGATCCCAATTCAATCACAAAGTTTTCTAGAAACGTGATTCTTAGGGAAGGATATGATTCTGCTGGCGAAGAGAGAAGTATACAGAGGTTGATGCACCAGCTCTCATATTTGCAGTGAAATGTGTAACTCTTAGGGAAAATATCATTAAACCTCCTCATGACACTTTGAAACTGCTAGCAGTAAGAAGGGAAAAAAATCAATCAATTTTGAAGAAGCAAAAGTGTAAGCTATGATGTTCTTGCTGTTCTTTTCAATTAAAAAATAAATTAATCAGCACAAACATGCTATTTCAATAAAACCTCCTATCATTAACTTTTCATTTAAAGAATGACACAGATAAAAAGGATAATTTCTACGGAGTACTCAGCCATCTTAAAGACTGAAGTAATTTCAAAAAAACATGAAACACCCTGAAAAAAAGGACTGATTATTTCATACTGGTTGTGTCTCTTTATAAATAGCAGAGCACTCCTTGCTCTATACAGAGTATACATGGGAATAATTTCACATTCAACATAGATATCTTAAGAAATAAAGGAACAACCACTCTACACAATATGCTTTTCCGTAACATGCACTGTTTAGGGAATAGTAAGTCATTATCCTTGGCAAAGAAGGTGCAGGTGCTCTAAAGTCTTCTCAGAGCTAACGATTTTACAAGTGTCATAATTAAAAATTTGAAAATATCGTATTAATTTTTAAAGTTGCCAAAATTCTGATAAGTCCTAGGAGTTCAGGGTGGGCAAGAAGAAAATCTTCTCCCTAATGTGTGACCTGTACCTGTTCCACTATTTGGGATGAATAGTGGCTCAAATGCCACACCAAGTCCCATCATTCTCAGAACCAGCCAAGGCAGCCTGGTTCTTGGCAAGACTAAAGCGGGTCTCATCCAAGAGTCCTCTCCAGGACCAACCCACCACAAGGCTGCCAGGCCTACAGGACACACAGCTGACCCGGGGCAAGGTGATCAGCTTGTTGTAACTCAGGATCCAAGCTCATCGTCCTCCAGGATAACCCTGAACTGTGCTGGATGCCTTGGGCTGGGCCTGGCCTCTCCTTGACAAGCGCTTCTAGGCAGGGAGTGAGGGCTGGATGGGTAGGGTAGGCGGAGCACCATTTATAGGAGCCAACCTCCATCTATCCGACACTTCGTTGAGCAGAGCTTTGTCAGTGATTCTGGAGCAGCTCCTCCCAACAGATGGGCTGTGAAAACACCTCTCTCTCTAGCCAGAGCTCATAGGAATAGTGGAAATCTTCAGGTAGATCCAACCTCTGCCCCAGCACGCTCTGCAAGCAGTTGTCCACAGGTGAAAATTCAGAGTCCTGGGGTTTGTCATACCGGCGGCTGTTAAAAGCTTCAATGTTGGCCCTCAGGGTGCACTCTTCTGCTTGGAAGTCCCACGGCCTGGCATCAATGTCTGTGTTGGAAAGAGAAGAAGAAAAAGATGCACTGAACCGAGGACATCACTCTCTTGCTACTGAGCATGGACTGTGAAACTGATCAGAATTATCCTTCTTTATAAAGAGCAATACACAAAGTAAGGCTATAGCATTCTGGTAACTGCGTGGAATCCCCACCATCACATCACAAGTCTGTGTTCTTTTTTGTTTTGTAGTATTAGGGACTAGCCTTCACAGAGTTACATCCTAGCCCATTTTTTATTTTTTTTTGAGACAGGGTCTCAGTAAGTCACTGTTACAGCTTATGCATAGGTGTACTCCCAACGCTCATGCAGCTCAGGTGGGGCTTTTCAGAGGTGTGATTATTAAATTAGTCCACTGATTGCTTTGGCATAGGTCTGAGTGTGGATAGGGGCGGCCCTCCCCGGGTGAGTGCTACCCACCCTAACTGTGTAGCCTGGAGAGACTGGAGGGATAGAAAGAGGGCTGCTGTCATGGCCTGCTGCTTCCTTTCTGCTTCACTGCTTTGCGCCTTCTTGCCCACCATGAACGGTTTCTCCTCTGTGATGCCCCTCTGCCATGCCAGCCAGCCTTGGAGCCAGCTAGCGATGGACTGAAGCATCTACAACCTGAGAACTAAATAAACCTTTCCTTTACTTTGGGTGTTGGGTATGTTGTCTCAGCAAGGAGAAAAGCAAGCAAGACAGTCACTAAAAAGCCCATGGGCAGGTCAAATAGCTCAGCAGATTAAAGCACCTACAAGCAAGTACAAGGGACAGGGGTTTGATCCTTGGGTCTGCCATGCCAGCCCCGCCCCTGGAGTATGCTGAGACAGCAATTGAGACTGGGCATGGTGGTGTGCGCCTGTAGTCCCGGCTCTTGGAAAGCTGTAAACAGGTGGATCATTACGAGTCTGATCTAGTAGTGAACCCTGAACACCCTGTAGACTTTTCCCTAACATGCAAAAAATAAAAAAAAGAAAAAAGAAAAGAAGCCCAGAATGGGCTTGAACTTTTTTTTTTTTTTCTTTTTTTGAGATTCTTATGGTACTGTTCAGGATGGTCTTGAACTTGCATTTATTCTCCTGCCTCAGCCTCCCAGAGTAGTTAGTCTATAGGCCTCAGCCACCAAGCTGGCGTTCATTAGCATTTTTTGATTATGAGTGGCAGGCTTCCATAATCTGTGTCATTCAATTTAACATATATTTCAGGGCTGGAGATACAAAGTTCCTACATATCTGTTGTCCTACACTCTGTGGTTTATCATAAAAAAGTATAGTTTGGGGTTGGGTTCATAATGGCAGCAAGAAGACGTATCATTTATACGACAAAACATTTTATATTTTAAGGGCTGGAGGTATAGCTTAGTTTGCCTAGCATGTATAGTACCTGGAGTTCTATTCCCAGTACCACTAAAAAACCCCAAAAACAAAACAAAAAAGGTATTATGCTTTAAAAACTTTCAGGAATATAAATAGCTAATTGTATTTTATATTGTATAGCAGAAGTTGCATCCTGGCTTGGTAGGTGCCAGTCATACATTTTTCTTAGTTGTCTGAACTATTTACTACACTATTTTATAAAATCAAGCAGAGTAGGGCCGGTGAGATAGCTCAGTAGACTAAGCACCTGCTTAGGCAAGCACAGGGACCTGGGTTCAATCCCCAGCACCACATGCTGCGCCAGCTTTGCCCTAGACATGCTGAGCCAACCACCGAGACCTGGCGTGGTAGTGCACGCCTGTAATCCCAGCACTGGGGAGGCTGAAAACAGGAGGATCACTACGAGTCTGTGCTGCGTAGTGAGGCCCTGTACCAAGGATTTAAAAAACAAAAGAGTACAAACCTGAGCAAACATGAGTAATTACCTTAAAATTATTAAATTCAATTATGAAAATAATAGTCAATTCTAATGATAACATAAACAATGAAAAAGCTCTCTAAGATAAAAGTTTATCCAAGTTTTGGTCAAACTTAGCATAACTTTTGGTAGATAAAACAGATACTATGGTTCCTGATGAACATGTGAGAGGTATTATAGCCATAAAGGTTTACATTAAATTCAACAAATCTGAAGATTCAACCTTTAGCTTCTAAGTATTACCATGGATAGAGGAATAAGGTAAATGACACCATAAAGAAACACACTAACAAATCCAGAAGACAGCTGGCCAGGTTTTTCAACTGTGTAGGCAGGGGTGAGTGGTACATTAAAGAAGAGTTAAGGTATATAACAACCAGATACAATTTGTGGTCCTAAATGAGATTCTAACGTGGAAAAATAGCTGAATAAAAACCATTTTGGGATAACTGGAGAATTCCAAATATAGGCTTGATTTTAGGTATAATGAAAATGTATTGACAGGGAAAGGAAGAAGTAACATTAATTGAGAAGAACAGATTTTTTAGTAGCATGTACCAAGTTCTTTCATCTTAATAAATATTCATAACAAAAGATTGGGAAGAATATATGACAAGATATTATTTTATTTATTTATTTTTTATTTTTTT